TTGAGTATCCAAATCCTGATGTTGGTTGATATTATTGGTGTTGTCCTGGTGAAAATTTAGCAGTATTACAGTTTGAGTATCCAAATCCTGATGTTTATGTTACTTGTTTTATTAAAGGTATATTGTTCTAACTTGGTTGCCAAGAAGATAGTACAACAAGGATCTCAACAGGTTTCCTCCAATCACAATGCAGCATTCCCAATAGCTACTGTTGCAATAGGGATTTGGTCTGCTTTTCCTGATGTCGGAGATCTTATTTTAGCTCATTTTTACAAGCAATGCCCTTTTCTTGTTCCACTTTACATTCCACAAGCCGAGGGAATGTCTGATGCTGATTACTTTCAAAGTCTTGGGTATGTTTGTCAAGATGGTGAAATTGAGCCACGTGATAAATACTTGAAGCGCATATCAGGAACTATAAGACTGTATGCAGCCATTGTTTCATCCTTGCCTCCAAAGGGATCATCTCCAAACCATCCCCATGGTATTGCTTATGGGTGGATGTGGCTGGCAAGAATTCTTAACCTCCCTCCTAAAGCAGACTACACTGCTACAGCAATCTTTGAATTCCTTGATGTAGCTGGACATGCTCTATTGAAACAGTATCGCATTCAGTTCTGGAAGCTTGTTCTTGTCCTCATAAGAGAATTATTGCCAAAAATTGAGCAAATAACTGCACCTTCACAAAGTGGACCTGTCGTAAGACTGAAAAGCTTTCTAGAAAAAGCTTATCGATCAAGATCAATGCAAATTCCTGAAGGTTACCTCAGCCCAGACTGGTGGTTTTCATCAGGGGTTTCAGGGATTTATGGGACCTAGTTATCATAGCTTTTAATATGTAATTCAAGTAGAATTTGAATTATAAGAAAAGGTGTTTCTCCTGAGATTCAAATAACGACTTCTTACTGTTTGCTCTTTCTCAACTGAAATTGCTTGAAGCCCCAAATTTAGTTTAGAACTTAATTATAAAGGGTTTATGAGTTTGATATATGACCAATTGATGCTTTCAAAACTGTAGAACACCAAGGGAGGCTTAGAAAGGGAAATATTTTAAAGAAAACTAGCATTTAAGAAAAAAAAATTTGATTCTAGCTTTATTCAAATTTAGCAAATATCTTACACTGTAGGTCACTAGATCTGTGGATTGTTCAATGAGTATATTTTAAAACTAGCACTACAGCTATATGAAAAAGGGGTTTGTTCATCTACTGAATGAAAATTTTAAATGAAAAAAAAAACATGCTAATGTTATAAACCTATAACATTCCTTTATTCCTCCCTTCTTTACAAAAAGATAACGGTAGACACCTTTAGCTTGGGCATTTGTTTTGCCCATTTCAAACCATTTCCATCCAAAGAAAGGAATGATACTCAAAGGTCTATTAAGCTGAACTTAGTTCCAGCAATGAACAAAACACAAAAATGTAGATAAAGGACATTCTTGAGCTTTCAAAAAATGCAATTTACCTTAATATTCAAAACTTATTTTTACATGTACAACACCAGAAAAGACCCAAAGCTAACTATAAAAATTTTTGATTGCCTAGTTGGACCAATCCTGCTTTATCGTGGTGAAATCTGGGGCATAGATGATAAAGGGACATTAAAAAAAGACCCTATTGAAGCAGTCCATGTCAAATTTTGCAAGATGCTCCTACTAGTAAATAAAAAGACAAGTAATAATGCCTGTAGAAGTGAACTTGGTAGATTTTCATTAAGAACTAGCGCGAAACTACGAAGCTTTAGCTTCTGGTTAAAGATAATCCACTCGGAGAAAAAAACAAACTAGCTTACAAATCATTTGAGGAAATCAAGAATAATGACAACAAGACATACTGGAATAAAAAAAATTAAAAGCACCCTTTACCTTTTTGGCCTAGGTGATATGTGGGAAAAACAAAGTGATTCTGATCGCAATCCTAAAACTATCAAAAGTTTGTGGATTTTTCAGGCTGAGTAAGTCAGGTCACCAATATCAATCATAGATTTAGTCTAACTAAGCTAAGAATTAGTATTCATCAATTAGATATCGAGAAGGGTCGTTATGCCAGACCCTACAAAAAAAGATGAAGATAGAATATGTCCAATCTGTAAAATGAGAAACTGAAGATGAATAAGCACACTTCTTATCAAAATGCACATTATATGAAGAAAAAAAAGTGGGATTTGAATAAAATGCAACACGACGATCTTTTCCTCTTTCTGATGAATCCACCTGACATAAAAAATACCCAGAAAATTATTGCTAAATTCATATAAAACATTACGAATCTACCAAAAGAAAATATTAACGATAGACAATAATCAAATGAAAAAACCATGCAAATAATCAGTGTACAAATATTATCTCATGTATATTATTTGGGTGACCGTTAATGTACGTTAGCGTGCAAGATGCCAAATAAAACTTACTTCCCTACTTACTGAGTGACTGACTGTTGCACCAGCCCCCCTATTAATAATGACAGGTCCCTAACGTAGACAAGAAATGCGCAACAAAAGGTATGGAAGTGAATGACCTACAAAGCATATATTTTGGGTCTGTAGACTAAAAATGTGAGTACACTTTCAGGTAGAATCCCGGCATGCACTATTAGAACCGCTTCTCGGCGGTCCCTGATCCCACCCTACCCTAAAGCTTTGCGAGGCTCTAGGATGTATTTTTCTGGGTAACTCCCGAGCTCTATATTTCATCTATTGACGCCACTCAGGCCCTTTAAGCTAGCCGATCACAGGTAATGGAAAGCGTATACTGTATGATAAGTGAACAAGGTCATATGAATTTCTGCGGTCTTCGTCACAAACAACACCATATAAGGTGAAACGAGCAATATACTGGATCTAGTCTGCGTCATGTTGGCTTTCTGTGAAAAGGTCTTCACGGAAGCGTCTGATTCTTGAAAGAATGAGACAGAAGGCTTGGTAACGAGAGTCAGTCCACCAGCGTTTGCAACCCCATCCAGTGTATATATTTTTATTACCTCAATATATATATATATATATATATATTATAAATAATGGCTTCTTCCAGTAACAAACCGGCTGTCGGTAATTTTATGCCATCGGGATACGATTATGAGTTTGTCGACAAAGTACCTGAGGAATATGTATGTAATATCTGCTTCTTTGCAATGTGGAAGCCCGTACAGACCAAGTGTGGTCACAGATTCTGCAAAGACTGTTTAAAAGAAGCAAACAAAAGGTTAGGAAACCATTGCATTATGTTTAAGGAAGCCTACATCTAGATGCTAAAATCTGGGTAGCTGCTGTAAGTACGTGGTGTTATCATTTATTTGAGTTGCGAGTTTGCCGAATACATGACGACACAAACAACGGCTGCTGCGCCGTACGTGAGGTTACTAAACACGAAGATTTTCGATGACAAAATCCACAAACATCTTTTGGAAAAGGGTATTTCAGAGTTTGATTTGACTTATATACGAAAACAAGTAAACTTTAGCAGGCGTTGAAACAAAAAATAACAAGCTATGTCAGGACTGTTTGCATTGCCACGTGTGTTTTGTTTTGTTTTAGTTCGCCATTAATATTATTCGATATACTGATAAATCAATACACTATACAGTATTACCTTGATACAAGGTTTATTTTTGTTATTCATTTATTACTTTATCTCAATTATATCTTTGAACATCTCAAGGATTTTTTTGTCAATTTTGCATCAATTTATGCAGGGCTTCTGTCTTAGTAAATAATGTCTCGACTCATATTAAAAGCGGTCATGTATCGATTTATCTTAACATGTCTTTTAAGGTTAAAACCTGTTTGACGCTTATATTGTTCTAGATCTTGGATGAAAAAGAGAAGTACTCCGCACTAAACTTATCAAATATATCATTTTGAGTGTACTTTTCAAAAATATTTTGGTCAAGTTTCGTGCAAATGGATGCGTATTGAAAAAAATGCATATAATGTTTCTTTTTTTTCTTTTTTTTCTTTTTTTTTCAAAAAAGTTAGTCACCAACAAAAACCTAGAAAGCTGAGATCACTGAGGATCATATGAAGAACACGTTTCATATCAAAATATCAAATAAGTAACGTTTTTTTGATCCAAACTGCGGCTTGAGGATGCTCAGACTGAACTGAAATCGTAACGGTTGAAATATATCAAGTCTATCCATAGTTATACAAATAGTTGGTCTTAACTGATTTTTTGCTTTTAAGTTATTTGTTAGAGCCAGTACCTTTATTCTTTTAAATTATCATATTTCATGTAAATATTCACTCGTAGTTGTCATTCTAGGTACAATGAAATTATCGTCGTTAACGTTGTTATCAAGTGGTTGAAACATGTCAAATATATCTACCCATGATCCTTGCCGGTCTCAGCTTAGTAGCTTTTCAGGTGACTAACTTTTTTATTGAAATAAGTGTATACACAAAACTTACAATGTATAAATTTAACATACTGACGAGCCCAAAATTGCAAACTAGCCGCATGAGCAAAAAAAAAAACACTTTTTTACGTTGAATAAAGTGTAAGCTATAATTAAAACGTTTTACCAAAAAAGAGGGAAAATGGGGTTACCTTTCACAAGGCCTTTTTATGGAACTAAAGAAATCTGTAAATTCCAATTTTAACTCCCATTTTCGTACAACAAAAACGAAAGGATCCTTCGCTGTACCATTGCAGATGATAAATAAAGAATCTCTCCCCGCCCACCCCACCCCCACTAAATATTCTTGACTGTCTAGACCAAAATGAACCAGGTATTACATAGCTACCCTCCACAACCAGGTGCAGTTATGGCCCGGGAAGAATGATCAGCTGAACCGGGTATGGTTTTTCGAGCTTCTTATCATAAACAGGGTGTGCAATTTCACTCAAGTTCCAAGTTCTTCCTGAGCTTCCTGTCATATTCAGGGATTCTACTTTCGTATTGACCGAAACTGGTTATTATGGTCGTCAAAAAACGATACACGAGATGACATGATAATTGAAACAGGAACTCAGTGCAATAAGTCATATCTTTTATCATAAACAGGGTCTACAAATTTGAGTTTTTTAATCATAAACAAGGTACCCCTTTCAGAATCCCAGCGGAACACCCCTACCCAAATTCTGGCGGAGTACCTCCCCCCCGGGAGTTATCGGCCAAACGCGTTGAAATATTTGAACTTGTTCCGAGGTAGAAAGAAGCCACAACAATGTCCAGAAGACAGACAAGAGCTACGCAAGCAGGTAAGTCGAGACGCATTATAAATAACCAAAATAGTCCTAATAACATCTTGGGTCACTTATTTGTTTTTATTTTGAAGGACGTATTTGATGATAAAGCAACAGAACGTCAGATATTGTCATTAAAGATCAAGTGTCCCAACAATGGATGTCAGTGGTTAGGCGAGTTGGGAGACTTAAAGGTTAGAAAACATTATTTTATCATTTCGCGTTTTTGTTAGTTGTTGTTGTTTGTTGTCGGGTTTTTTGGGGGGGTAGGGTGGGGAGAAGGTGTGGCGGCAGTGGAATCGCGAGATTTACTCACTGGAAGAGTAGTGAATAATTCTCGAGAGTCAAGATAAACAAGCTTGATAAGTAAAAAAAATTCTTAAGTTACGGGATTTCTTTTCATTTATATATTCATTTAAAAAACAAAGATTATTGTTTAACAATAACAAGGTATCCAACGTTGTGACACGAACCTTATGGAAGAGCCCGTCACCGAGATTATATGGACATAACTCAGTGTCATTAAAACTGTGATACTATACGTTTATATTATATAACAAATACTACTCAACATAACTTGTGTCTATAGGATCACACGTGTACCCCAACAAGCAGGAATCTCAAATGTGGAGGTCAAAAAGTAAAGACAAAAAAGGTCTGTTATTCCAGAATACACCTCGTGTTCACTAGTTATTAAAGCTATTTTGAATATGTTTTGTGATTCCTGCTAAAGCTATAACACAATTAATATTTGGCACAACTTGAATACAACTTTAACAAAGAATCTTATTCCTTCACTGATTTGAAATGGGGAAAAAAACTCATTACGTACAAGCTTGAAATGGTTAGACAAAAGTTCGTACGACGGTAACAAAAACCATGACGGGGTCGTATCCGAGAACTTGTATTGGATAATCAGGGATAGGTTCAGTCAAAGAGTGCGGCCATCTTGCCAAGGGAGATGACAGAAAATATAAAGAGTCGTATTTCATCTTTTGGTGTATTCTCTTGTGGTGAGCTGTAACTAATATCAAATGACTTCATTACTGTAACAAAGCTTTGTTTGCCCCCGCTGGACGACCAATAATGCTAATGCTTTGCGATCCAAGATGGCCGTCGTATGGTCGACTGAAGTAGTCCATTCGTACCGTGTTCGGGCCGTTTCACTGTCATACACAATTAGCTCTATCGGCAGCGTTTATATCAGTAAAAGAAATTAAAGAAAATTCTAAAACTGATATCTTTATTTCGATTCCAAATCATCTGACTGAGGAAGGTACTTTGACCCCTGTACCATGTGTCTACCAGCGTTTTGGGTGCAACGTTAAGGTAACTTTAGCAGATTTCCGGTCTATCTTACTAAAGGAATTTGTGCTGCCTTGTTTGAGCTAGAACTGATTCTTTTAAAATGATCTAACGAACTGTTTAGGTTAAACGAATAAGTTTGACGGAATAATCAAAAGGAAATACAGATAACTAGCCTCTCCATGTAAAGTAAATACAGTAAAAACCAAAACACCCATACCTTTTAAAAATAAATAATTTTAACTAGGTGTTATGAGAAACATGGAAATATATGATTGAATGGACGCAAGTACAGAAGGCCTCTTGATCAAACTGATTTTTGTCACAAATGCACACAAATATACATAAAATACTACATAAAATACTTTTTCCTGATTGGCTGTTGTTTTTTATTTATTTATTTTTTGTCTGTTTGTTTGTTTTTGTTTTATTGTTGCTGTTGTCGTGTTTTTGTTTTTTGTTGTTTTGTTTGTGTTTTTTTTGTTTTGTTTTGTTTTGTTTTTTTCTTTTTTTGCAACGATGTAGATGCAAATGTAGATGCAAATGTAGAATGTAGATTTCACCACATAAGCCGTGAGAAGATCCTCTTAGATTATGGGAATGAAAGTTCCTTGTGTTCTTAAACATATCTGTTAAGTAATTCGGAGAGCTGTTATTCAATGTTTTGTATATTAATATGGCAACATAACAAAGCATTCATCATTAGCTTCTCTCGTTAGATCAACCAACATGGCGGTACTCTAGGTTCCAGAGGTTCTATTTCGCTTCTTGTAGCGAGCATGCGCCGAAGGCGAGAGGGAGCTGACTTCCCAGCAAAGTATTTTAGCAAACACCGAAGCGAGAATAAATAACCTCTGGACCCCAGGGTATCATGGCCGTTGTTTTATTGTTATTCAAATCTCAAGGGGATTTGAGTCACATTGTTGCACACACTGACTTCATTTATTGTTAAACTTGTTAATATGCGCGTATTTTAGACACCAAGAAAAGATATGGATCAACACATATCGAGCAGCATTGGACATCATTTCAATATTACCTGTGAAAAAGTCTTGTTGCTAGAAGATCAAATCCTTCAACTCAAGAAAAGTCAAATGGAAGTGGAACAGCAATATCAAAACCTAAACGCAAACTTTCTAGAGGAAAAAGACCAAAGGGAAACCATTGCTAAAGAACTTACAAGTCTAAAGACTAATGTAGAACAGAAGTTAGTCAGGCTGGACAAAAATATTCAAACTTTAATCGGTCAAAAAGGAGAATTCTCTAAGGAAATAAAAAACTTAAAAAAGCAAATCAAGCAACAAGTCGGCGAACAAACGACAACGGGCCCAAGAACTGCCGTAAATACGGCAAAAACAAACAAAGATCTGGCTGAAAAGATTAAAAGATCTCGTTTACGAATGGAAACATCAATCGACGAGCTGAGCCGTGACTTTGATAAAAAAAATGAAAAAAACGATACACCAACTACAGCAAGAATTGGACCAAAAAGCGAGACGGATTAGGGATCAAATCAGGCAAAGAAGTAACTTTGAACATGGTGATCGGACTTTGATGCGGGTTATAAGTCGCCAACAAATGATTAGGTACTTTGAACCGGCACCAATGCACCAAATACGTAAAATGCAACAAACTAACTTGGAAAATGCCTATAGGAAAAAGGAAATTGAAGATTTTTTTTTTGTTTGTTTTGTAATCGTTTTGTATATAATTTTTATATATTTATACAATGGCAAATCTCACTAATAATAGGTAATTTATAATTGCCTACTTGAATAGCATAATGATAATGATAAGAAGAAGAAGAATGATGATGATGATGATGATAATAATGATTTAATAATAATAATAATAATAGTAATAAATAAATCAATAAAGTTAGTCAACAAAAACCTAGAAAGCTGTGATCGCTGAGAATCATGGGAAATATTTCATATCCAACAAGTAAAGCTTTTGACAAAAACTGCAGCAGTTGAGGATGCTCAGAGGAGGTTAACTTGTAACTGGTAGAAGATCTCAAGTCCATCAACAGTTATCAAGCGGTTGAACATGTAAAATGTATCTACCCATAATCCTTGTCGGTCTCAGCTGTGTAGCTTTTTAGGTGACTAACTTTATTGAAATAAGTGTATACATTAATTATTTAATTAAAAAATAAATGAAAATCCAGTACATCGTAGATATAAATTTGTTTACTAAACGATATTTCGGCAGGCCATGTCATCATTTAGTTTATCTTCATGTTGTTATGGCTGGTTTTCAATCATTCCCATGGGAGTGAAATAACGACAGACACGGCGGCCATGTCGGATGATGTAACAAAAGAATTCATTGACAATTCTTTTGCTAAATTCATCCAACATGACGACTATGACGTCATGTGCAAACGAAGAATTTCTGTATTTCACAATTTCAATTATATTATATATATCTTTGTAACAATGTAATTTCTTTATTACCTGAAAAAGGAAAATAATGCATTACTTTCCTTCTTCAGATAATAAAGAAATTACATTGGAACAAGATATATATTATAGATATTATATATTACAGATAAACTAAAAGGGACATGATAGAGAAAATAAACCCAGGAGTTAAGTTTGAAATGATATTAAAATAAGCTTCTTTAGCTTTGCGTTGGCATCATTTGTAAATTATTACTTTTATAAACTTCTGATTGTTTTGAGTAATAATGATAAGAATAGCAGAGTACAAACACTAAAAGTGTGCAACACTTTGCACTATTTTGTAGTAAATAGTGCTAATTAAACAATAGAAAACAATAGGATTAGCATAATTTAGCAGTAGTTAGTGGTATTTATGTTACACATTAATAGTGTTTGTACTCTAATAATAATGATAATAAATACAATAGGTTCTTAAAGACGCATTAAACAAAGTCTATATGCTTTATTTCACTGTACGTATTTTTTGTTCTGACTATAGCACACGAAAATGTACTAAACACACAATATGGTTCTACACTCAACCATGAGCGTTCAAGACCACATTCATAGACTGGTTTTGTAATCAGTACATTCTTTTGGGAATGATTAAAAACCAGCAATAAACCAATTCCGCTAACGCAATGTTTTACTCAATTCAAATCTACTGGGAATACTTTTTTTGTGTATGATATTTACGTATCATATCCATTTCAATGCTTCGCTGAAATGTAAATATATTGGGCAAAGTAAAGTATTCCCAGTAGATTTAAATTGGGTAAAACATTGTGTTAGCCGACTTGGTCTATACCGTATACAAATCTCCGAAAATAAGCCCCCCTGAATATACGTCCATGTATTTAGAATTCGACTTTGCTTGGCCTTAGCCTTTCTTTTATTAGGTACACTTAGGAACAATACAGTACAAATAATGTAGTAACGCATCAAGCTCAGCCTCGGCCATTTCTTTGTCAGGTCACTCAAGCATTTAGGAAAACCCCATTAACACAAAATAGCCCCCAAATAGCGCAGCGCGCAGATGACGCCATAAAAACGAAGACAAAGGCGCAACTCATATGAACGAAATTATTCTTTACTTTTACAGTAGATCTTTATTTCATTGGATTATTATTCTAACTTTGAGTAAAAATAATTACATCGGTTGTATAGCACACGACACGGTTAAACGGAATGCAATGTTTGTCTGAGTCTTGAAGCTATAAATCTTTCAGAATCTGCGCGCTGCGCTATTACAATGTACCCAGAGCCTGCGTTTCTTCTGGCCTGCGGCGAAGAACGAGGTCTCAGGCATAATTTTTGGCGCATGAGCAATTTTCAGGAAGTGAAATATAAACAATTAAAGTAAAAAATCAAGGTAAAAATTAGAAATTGGGAAAAAAAATTTTCTTTTTTGGAAAGTTTTTGAACGCATGCGTCCTTATACCGAAAGTCCAATAAACCCTGTTATCAAAAATACCCTCGTTCTTCGCCGCAGCCCAGAAGAAACGCAAGCTCTGGGTACGAGATTGGCGCTATTATTGAAATGTGAAAATTCAACGAAAATATTTTTGGCATAGCGTGAACAAAAATCTTTGCTGAAGAATCAAATTTGAACAATTTCATTTGAGAATGGCTTATAGGTGAGTTGAATTTTCCCTGAGTTTTGAGTTTTTAAATCTCACCAATCTCGTGCCCAGAGCCCACGTTCCTCATGGTCAGCACCGAGATGCTGACCATGAGGAACTTGGGCTCTGGGTACGAGATTGAAATCTCACCAACTCGTAACAGATGACGACATAGCCTACTCACTCTACGTTTTGGGCTACCTGTGCCGACTATTCCTGACATTTCCGGTTCTGCTTTGCCAAATGAGCTACGACGGTTCAGTAAGTTTCGATTCGACACAAAATCGAAAGGAAAGACTTTCTTTAAAAAGAGTATAGTTTTACAAGCAAATAATTATCGGATATGGCTACAGGATACAGTTATGAGTTTGTCTCCAAGGTATGTGACGAGTATATTTGCAGAATCTGCGAGCTACCGATGCGGAAGCCTGTACAGACCAAGTGTGGACATCGATTCTGCCAAGAATGTTTGCTAGAAGCAAACAAGAGGTAAATACAATTTTGATATAGCCATAATAGATATATTTTTAGTTACTATATTATTTAAATTTGTTTCACTCAGTTCACTTAATAAAAATCCCTAGGAAACATTGCGTCATCAAACATAGAATACTATCGCTCTAATCCGTTTTGGGCTCCCTTTGGTGAGGATCACGTTGCTCACTTGGACTCGACACAGGCAGCCCAAACAGGATTTTTGGGACTTTAAGTAGAGATATTAAATGAAAAAATGGCATAAAATTTCCTTAGGTCTTTGTTTTGTACCTTTATCTCCTAGTGATGTTTCAGCCTTTTAGTGGCTTCCAGAGATAGAAGCGTAAGTCACAAGAAATAGAACCACCTATGATTCGAATAATATTTGATGAACCACCCTTGAATACAAACCAACAACAACAATACTTTATGGCCAAAGGGTATCATGGGAGTGCAAGTTAATGAAAATATCCATAGGTAATATGAACGAATGATATCATGAGTCGAAATTCTAATCGGTTTTCTCTTTTTTCACTTTCGATTAGAAAAAAGGTCCCAGAATGTCCCATGGACAGACAGCCACTCGATATGAAAAAGGTATAGACTGTATGAAACTATTCATTACCTTTGATATGGAAAACGGTTCAACAATGTCTAATTGACGCACAGCCACTCATGATTGGCTAATCTAATCAACTTTGCTAGTTTTATTTTGATCGGTAATAAAAATTCATACGTAATTTGTTTTCATGTAGCCAAAAACTGAAAAACTCAATGTTTTATTTTATTTTGTGATTTAGCAAATTAGAAACAATGAAGTAAAAATACTCAACTTTATCGAACGTCTAACTAACTCAAACATCAAAACTAAAAGCACACACAAACCCTCGAATCAAAAGAGGTACCCACCAAACTGTATTCACATGTGATACCGAGTCTAGGATCATGCAGGGACAAAACGTACTACCACTACACCACCCTTACAATCATGCAGAGATAAATGTACTACCACTACACTACCCTTACAATCATGCAGAGATAAATGTACTACCACTACAC